GAAATCACTCATGCGTAGTTACGTATACTGGCCGGGAATGGACAAGGATATCGAAGATTTTGTAAGACTATGTAGAGGTTGTCAATTGGCTGCAAGGGCACCTCCGGTCAAAATGAATCCTTGGCCTAAAACGGATTTGCCGTGGGCACGTCTACATATAGACTATGCTGGACCAATCAATGGACACTATTATTTGATATTGGTGGACTCTTTATCGAAATGGCCTGAAGTAGTCAAGTGCAAGCATCCTACATCTAGGAACACCATCAGTGCATTGGATGAAATTTTCAGTCGTTTCGGGGTTCCCAGAACATTAGTTAGCGACAATGGTACGACGTTCACAAGTATGGAATTTAAGGATTTCTGTACCGCCTTAGACATTGAACACATAACTACACCAGTGTGCCATCCCAGGTCGAACGGTCAAGCCGAGAAATTTGTCGACACTTTTAAACGTGCTTTTTACGTAAAAAATAGAGGTATAGACACTGAAGAAAGAACTATTCAAAAGTTTTTAGCAATCTATAGGGTAACTCCTAATGAGAACAATAATGCGAAAATGTCACCTGCGGAAATTATGTTCGCAAGAAAAATTAGATCAATTTTCGATAGATTGTTACCCTATCAAAACAAAAAAGTTGCTAAAAAAAGACGAAAAAGTCAATATAAAAAATACACACCAGGAGACAAAGTTTTTTTTAAAAACTTTAAAAAGTGGGAAAAAGCTTTTGGATGGATGGCATAATCCAGAAAAGGATTGGTAAAGTGGTCTACATGATTAAAAGTAATAAATTTATGTGTAAAAGACACATCAATCAGATTAGACCACGATATGGTGAAGAAAGTGAAAAAAAAAGCGAAGAAGAAATTCCGATGGAAGTGTTATGCGATGCTTTTAACATGACACTACCCAATAGTGTATTGGAACCTGTATCGCATGAAACAGCCTTACGGGCTGGAAAGCGGAAATTATCTTCGCCAAAAAGGATCAAATTGCGACGACTGAAAGAAGGAGCACACGCAAAGAAAAACCAGTGGAGCGTTTTTAGTCCGGATCCAAAAAGAAGACGATATTAGAAGCAGAAATTTTCAAAAGGAAGAATTTCAGCTTCGGGGGGAGGTGTTGTGATGAAATAACCTGACTTCCCCATTCACCATAAATGGACGTTCCGGTGGCCGATAAAGTTCGACCACAGTAAACAGTCCAAAACGACAACAGAGCGACAACAAAGGTCTTCGTTGACTACACCATGCGGTTAGCTTACTCCTACTCTGTCTCTGTATTTTGACATTCCTACATTCCGATATAAAGTATTATTATTTAAACCACCACTCGGGTTTACTTTGTTATTATATCTTTTTGCGAGATATAACGACTGGCGACGAGATATAACAATCTTTATCATATGAGCTGTGCATGTTGAAGTAAGCACTTCTGTTAGAGTTAAAAATTGGAATTCTGATATGATATAACAATCTTGTGCCAGACAACGCTTAATTAATCCTCTCAGTCCTTAAGAAATTTCAATTGTTAAATCTCTGAATTGTAGAAAAATCTGGATATATGGTATTAGTGTAATTAAATTGATAGATCTCAAAAGCTATTGACAACCAAATATTACAAGTTGGTTTTATATGAAAATAAATTGATTTCTCTTTCAAATGATACCAAATTTAACCTCCTTTGGTATTACTGTTTATGAGATGTAGTTTTTGTAAAAGTTATAAATTTCTGAAAAACTTTAAATTTGTGTCACCCCTAGTTGATCATGCAATGGTGTTATCCCCAAGGACACATAGCCCAGTAGATAAAAGCTTTGGTTGAGCAATCCCAAAAATGTGACTTGACCCAAAGAATTGTGAGTTCAATACTTGGCCACAGAAACAAAAACTTGGAGAGTTGAGTTAATAAAGAGAATTAACTGATACTGAGATATCCAAAAAAACACCATGTCACGCGGAATTAAAACAATCTACCCCCATGGACTAAATAAAGTGTTCAGTTTGAAATTTCAACATATATCACCTGAAGAAAGTTGGAGTGTACAACGGCTGAAACATCGTGAATATGGCAATAAAGATTACAATGTAAATAGCGTACATTCTTAAATATCTATTTGGACAGCAATCATAGAGCAATAATTATTTACTTATATAGTGACCTTAGCTATGTCACTATTATCATAGATCCACCCTGAAACGTTATTATCGTATGGATGGATAACACCAGGTTAGAATCAATATTTTCCGTCTGATGATATTCCTTTTTATTTCTCAATTAACGTTCCATTAAAGGATTCTTGTCTAGGGGTTAGGGTTGCTTCCCTTGTATTATCGTATCATTGGTGGAATAGATAAAGTAAAAAAAAAAGTAAATATTAATTCAATTAGAATTTAATTGAATTTAATTTTCCCGGATCCCCTAAATGACATATTCGACCGACCGTAGACCAAAGACAAACAAAACAATTGATGTTAATAAATATAATATTTTTAATAACACGAAAATGGGACAAATGACAATAACATAAACGGATAGCATGAAATATTGTGTCCAATCAAAGTTGGGATAAAGTGAGCGATAACGAATGCAGAACTCAACAAATGTAATGGGATAATGTTAATAATCTGATATTACGTATGTAATGGTGTTTGCATGAACATAATGTTATTGTACTGTTGCAAGCTATTATAATATCGGGGTTTAGGAACTTATCTGATATTTTGTGATTTAGCAGACGATTTCGACAACCATCCCTTTTTATATGTATTTCTTTCTGATGACTGGATGTTAGATCTCAATCTGGATCATGTCTTCCGCCTCGGGGTTTGAATTCAGGATTCCTCCTTGAGATGATGATATTTGAGTTGCGAAGGCCTACTGCATTAGACCCTTTTACATTCTTGGCACTGGAACAATCTGATCTGTTTCTCTGCCTCGAGGAACGTGCGGTCTCAGCTTATTATTTGGAGTTTGCAGTTGATGTGACTTCACTCGTCAATGGCTGGCCTGCTACTAATTTTCTAGTGTCACCACGTGCATCTCTTCCTTTTTGGCGCCTAATTTCCTGCTTGCTGATTGGCTGCTCTCTACCAATCGTGTTGCTGCTTTCGCATGCTGGATTTATTTTTAGCTTTCGCCTACACGTGTGTGATCTAGGTCATGGTGTGGGAAGGGGATGGGTGTTATATGTCGGCTTGCATTCGTCATACTATACAACAGTGTCTTGTATCGTGATGCATTAATACCTGCCACAAGGCCAGGTTATCAGCGACTATACAAGTTCTTCCACCAGGCTTTTCTGGTAAGGAGGGTTGCTATACTCAGCAGTATTAAAATAAAACCTGTGAAAGGGTTGATGAACCTTCTTGTAGAGGTCAACAGCCATCTAGCACAATAGGGTAGACTGAACTACATAGCTATATATGTGGCAAGTTTGGTGATGACATGACATCACTGGTTGGAGGACTTCCTAAACTGAAGTTAATGGCCAGAACAAAGGGTTGCTCTGATGGAATCAATGTTGATGTGTCTGTGATCAAAGTGAACATTCAGGTTGGATGACCTTTGCTGTGATTTGACCTGGAGAGGGATGGGCTCCACCAGATCTTGGGCTGCATGCTCACATGGTAACACAATTAAAGACAAACACTACATTAAGAAATAAAAATGTGAAGCTTGTTTCCTATATTATATGTAGCTGTTTTATTCAGGGCTTCGTCTGCCCATCCAGGTGGCTAGGTAGGTGATACTTGGGACAACTTCAGCTATGTTTTTCTAACAGCTCGGCTTTTTCTTTTGAAAAGGGTCATTAGCATTCAAATAGTTCTTCAGACAAAATCACATTTTTCTTGGATATAAATCGGATAAGAGAAGACCAAGTATATTTTTTGATTTTATAACTATGAATAAAAATCAGTTAATTTTTTGTCAACACTTGCAATTCTAACCCTAACTTTTAAAACTAAATTATATATATTTTTCAATGGTCAAGTTTGCTTTCATTTGTTCTTTAATACAGCTGCCACATATGTCAGCGTAATTTGCCCTTTGGTATTTTTTTATTGCATCATGAAGTTAATTTATGAGCCAGTAACAAACATTTACCAAACAATTTTGGTATGTTTTTGAATATTTACCATACAGTTGGGTGGTGGAAAATCTTTCCATGTGAAAGTGGGCAATGATGCAAAAAAGATTGGGAGCCCCTAATTTACAGTGTGTCAATTTCTAAGATACGCAAAAGCATTGTAGATTTACAAGTGTTGTGAAAAAATTATTTTACTCTTCTTCTCTGTGCTGTGTTCCATCTGGACATAGGCGATCATAGCTCTCCAAAATTTCCTGTATTTTGTAGCTCTTAATAAATTGTCTTTTTGTTAAACCTTGTTCCACCATCCATTTACTCAAGCCCACAAGGTAGGCATTGTTTTAATCTGTCCCTTGCCTTCAATCTGTCCTGTGAGTAACAAATTTTCCAAGCTCTCTTTCCTCATTATGTACCCTAGAAATTTCAACTTTCTCTTTCTGATGTTAAGTATAAGTGTCTTTTTGTTTCCATTTTTTTTTTAAATTTCACTGTTGCTCACATGTTCAGTCCATGATATTCTGAGCATCTTTCTGTATAATCGCATTATTGTTGCTTCAAGTCTCTTTTATGAGGAGATTGTCCCACATTCATTATCATATTGGAGGGTTGATATTTCCTGCTTGGAAAAAGAAATCAAAGAGATGAATTTGAATTCTACCCAAATTTGTTAAATTCACATATTCATAAATGCTCTGGGGAAAGGTATGAATCTATCTATACTCTTCACAGCAAAGGGGTAAATAGTAGGACTTGTATCTGGGGGAAAATCATTGTTATCTTCCAAAAATTGTTAATTTCTTACAATCCAAAATGTTTCAGCTTTAAATAATCTACAAAGGGTTAAGCTGTAAAAAAAAAAACAAATTGGTCAATCATTTTTTTTATTATTTGTTTTTTTTTTTTTTGTAGTGGAAGCAGAAAGAGATAAAGAGAAACAAAGACTGGACACTGAATTACGGGAATTACGTCAACACTTGACACGTACTGTAGATGTGGTCAGTGAGATGGAGAACGTCCGTCGTAGTGTCCATAAAAGTGAGCAGCAAAGAATCCAGCTGTCTGACCACATTGAGGTTAGTTTACTGTTTTGAGTGTATTAATAATCCCTGACAAGCAGAATAAATGTTTTATTATCATTAATCACATCAAACGCAAGCATGTAGCCTAGAAGCTTTTGATAGATAAAAGAGTTTAAATTGTAAAAGGAAAGAATACACAGTATGTTCTATACAAGAGATGACTAAGCAATGACACATGTTAAAAGTAGTGCATTACATCACAGTGATTTTTGCTGATCAGTTTATTATTGACATTCACATGCTACAGAATTCTATGTTATTTATTCCCATGTGAATATTTGCAGTATGAACCTTGCCAAAATTTATCTTTTTTTTTTTTTCAAAATTGATGTGCAAATCAAGATACAAAAGAAAACTAGCAAATGACAATAAACATGAATTCAATGAACAATGGGAAAACAAGAAGACCTCATAATTGCATTTATAAATAGTTTGTAAACAAAAAAATAATGCTGATTAACATATAGTTTGTGATGAATTATTTTCCACTTAACAGCCCCTTTCCTCACAGACAAAACAATGCAAGCCTATTACTGCTCTATCACTTTTTCCATGGCAAATGTTCATATGAGCTAAATGCTTAGTTCCAACAATCCAGACCTTCACAGTAAGGAGATGCCATGTACTTGGTGTTGAATCATCTTCATTTCCTTTGTATTCCATTTGTAAGAAGGAAGTTCCACTCAGACAGATTCTTCCTGAGAACCATTACTTTATGAAACGCACTTTAGAGGATGCTTCCTTGATCACTACAATCTTAACCGCTTCAAGTCTAAAGTCAACCATTATCTATCCTACTTCTCCCCATAATCTACAATTATCCCTTCATTTACATTCATGCAACAACCTTAATCAGTAAGCTATCTTGAGTTGCTCTTGGTCTTTGCATTGGGTGAACATTTTAGTTTAAAAAAATGGAACTTGTTGGTTTCAGAATAAATTTGTTAATCAAATTTCATTTTTAATAACTTCTGTCAATTCCAACTACTTCTGACATAATTTGTCTCTGACAATCAGAATTTGCTCAAAATTCTATCAGAATGGTGTTCAGATGTAAGCAAGCAATTCTAGCTTTGAAATTGATTTAAAAATTTAAAGAATTCTCTGTTGCTGCCAGATATTAAAAATTTGGTGAAATCAAAATTTTTATTCAAGGAAGTAATCTTGTTTCTCATTCAAGGAAGTAATCCTGTTTTTATAATAAATCAATATATTATGTAAAAAATGCTAAATATGTTTATTTTTAAAAGGATGGTATTATAAAACTTTCATAGTGCATCTGAACTCATACTTAAGAAAATTTGATTCATAAAATGCAAAAGGTTAGACACTCTTGTGATAAATGACCTTTGTCCTTGAAGTTTTCAGATTAGTTTCAGTGGCAGTTTACATTTTTAGATAGCAAATATATTTTCTTGTCTCTCTATGCCTTTTTTATAAAATCTTTCATGGTAACTGTTTGGATGATCTCTTTGCTATGATACTTTGACCTGTGGCAAGGTCACATCAATTTAAAGTCAAGCTAACTTCTATGCTAATGGTTTCTTTTTTCACACTTATTGCTTGTGGAACTCCCTTCCAGCTCCATGCTTTCCAGCCAACGTTAAACTGCAAGAATTTAAATGCAATGCCAATTGCTATCTACTGTCCGCCTGAATTCTCTTTTTTTTTCTACTCATTACTAATGTTTCTGTTTCTAATTCCTCCACACCCTGTAATCCTTTATGTTTTTGTTATATCTCGTACAAGATATAATAAACAAAGTAAACCCGAGTGTGGTTTTCAATAATAATTTTATAATCGGATGTAGGTATGTCAAAATACAGAGACAGAGTCAGGAGTAAGCTAACCGCACTGGTGTTAGTAAACGAAGACCTTCTTTTTGTCGCTCCCTCTACTGTTTCCTGTGGTCGTACTTTATCGGCCACCAGACCGTCCATTATCATGAATAGGGAAGTTGGGTTATCTCATCACAACAGTTTTAGTGCCTGTACTGTCTTGCTTGGGTGTGACACTAATAAAAACAAAAATAACATATCTCTTCAGGACATAGTCAATCATGAGCTTTCCACAGGCTAATGTGTGTTCTTACAACTGTTCCTTTGTAACATGTGTATCATAGTTTCTTTTAAATTGACATATAGAATTTTAAAAGGTTGTAGGATTGGAGTGTATTTTAGGTGAGTGCATGTTCACATATGATAAACAAAGAAGAAGCATACAAAAACTCGATTTTCTACTATGGATCAGACCATTTATCCTTTTTTTTTATAGAAACTGCAGTGAAACAAAGTTCTCACTGTCTCTTGGGTATGTCCTTTTTATTTTTCTGGTTCAGAAGTTAGAGTAAATAAGGATAAGAATGTTTAAAATGGTCAAGGTCAAGTCAGCCTTGCACTGTGTTGGAATGACCGAAGTACTTACTTCGTGAGTGAGGCTGCAATGTATATGGAAAAAAGACAGATTCTGTCCTTTTTGGAAGTGAGATCATAAATAAAATTGTATCGATGACTGAAAACCCTTTCCAGTTCCTTTATTACTTACATTTTGGGGAAATGAATTTATATTTTCTTTTTTTTTATTCTTTATTATTACTTTATTTATTGGTTTTATTTCATTTTCCAACAGACACATGTGCATCAATGTACCACAAGACATACATGTGTTTTGTGGCAGTAAACATGTTAAATACACCAATCTCAACCCTAACTCTAAATCATTTCTTACTCAAATACATAAATGATTCTAACCAACTGTCCTTGTCAATTTCACCTAGAAGTCTGTAGCATGATAATAAACTGCATCCAGTAGCACGGTCTCTGATCAGGAGATTTTGAGGTGCATTAGACCACCTCTTAATTGCTGTTTTTCCTAACTATAGGCAAATAGTGAAGCCCCAGACAAAGGTCAGAGCACTGGGACTGTAAAAATAAATTTCTATAGTAAAAATACCAGCAATATATTTTTAAAAAACTATTACCAACAATATATTTTTGTAGTGAAATTACCAGCAATACATTTTTAAAGCGGAATAACCAGAAATATATTTTATGGTAGAATTACCAACAATATATTTTATAATAAAATAACCAACAATACAACACTAAGGAAGCATAAAAATACATTTTTATAGCAAAATTACCAGCAATACATTTTTAAAAAATTACCAACAATACTTTTTATCTATAAACTATATATATAAAAAATGTATGTTTGCTCTGAAAGTATAAAATTATGTACAGAATATCAGTAGTTGAAAGCATAATATTGTGTATGAAATATTTAGATTTTGGCATTAAATAACCCATAGAAGTTGATAAGTTGTGAAACAAAACCAACCAACTAATTTCACCTCGATGACAAAGAAAACTTAATATTTTGAATTGACTCTTTTCAGGTACTCACAAAAGACCTGGAAAATCAGGAAAGACAAAATGGAAAGCTTCTTAGCCAGCTACATGAGATATTAGCTAAATATGAGACTGCTGAACAGGGGCGTAAAATATCAGAGGCTCAGGCAGAGGATCTGACATTACGCTTACAGCAAAATGTGGGCCAGTTGGATGCCACTTCAAAAGAACTCCATGAAACCAAACAAACTCTTGAAGACAGTATCCGCAAACGAGACATTCTGCGAGGAAAAGCACAAGAAGCAATTAAGCAGTAAGTGCCTTGTAAAACTTCCAAGCAGTGTGATATTCAGTGGGGTTAATTTGCACTTATCTCCGCTACAGAACAGGTATTGTTGAAGCGATAAAGAAAAAAAAAATAGTAAATTAAAAAAAATTTTAAAAAAACTTTAAAATTTCCAAATTTATCAGACTGAAATTAATTTAAAATCGAGGTGTAGTTGTACAATAAGCAGTTGGAGATTAAGCATGCCAGATTACAAATTTAGGGCTTACGAAACACTGGTTCCTGTATGATCAACAAAGTTAAGCAATGTCAAGCCTGGTCAGTACCTAGATGGGTGACCACTTTGGAATACTAGGTGCTGTAAGATTGGATGTGTGGGTGGTGTACTGGATAATGACTCTGAATTTTTAATCAGAGAGCCAAATTCCAATTCCCATTAGGTTATATTCACTTACATGCAAATGCCCTTGGGAAAGGTATTAATTCACCTCCTCTCACTCCCTGACTATTGGCTAATTAGTAAGACTTGTCTCACTAAACTATTATTATCTCCAAAAAAAAAAAAAATTCTTAAAATCTAAAAATATTTTCTGACTTTAAATAACCTCCAAGCCTGTGGTTCCCAACATGGGGCATATGCTTCACAGGGAGGCAGTTTGATTTTTAAAGGGAGAAATTCAAGAATGAGTTATTAACAGTGAATTTTTTTTCTAGCAAGTGTGTGTGTGTGAGAGTTAATACATACAGAGTATATACAGTATGCATACATAATTACGTATGTACTGTATATAATATATATATAATTTTTTTTTAACAATTTCTTAGTAATTTCTTCCTCTGTACTTCAACTGTCCTTTCATTCTTTTCTGTTTCTCTTTCATGGATGCCATGCTTTTTGGAAGCTTCTTTAGACCAAGTTAACGGCCTTTTAGTCTTCCTCCACTTGAATAGGATTTGACTTTTTCACTAAGAATTAAATGTGACAGGGTGCAACAGGATTTTAGAGATGCTTAGGTGGGGCATGGCCTAAAAAAGGTTGGGAATCAACAGGTTAAGCCATAGAAAATGAATCAGATTATGAATTTTTTTTAAAAAATTGACATTTTAAGAAATTTTTTGGAGGCGTAAGAGGTTTTATAGGAGAATCATTTTATTATGAATTTACATAGCAAACTGAACCCCGTTTTTATAAATTAAAAAAAAATATTTTGATACATGTGATCTTAATCTATAGTAATACGAAAAAAAAAAATTTTGTGTAAATGATCATTTCCGGTCACACTGCCTATTGTACGATTCCACTAAAATTGATTTATTAAAATTTTTATTAAAACTTAAAGGAAAAAAAAAAAACATTGTATGCTCTGTAAGAGTGTTTTTGAAAAAAAAATAAAAAATAATTTTTAACATTTAAGAGATTATTATTATTTTTAATTTTTTTTTTAGGTTGAAATTGAAAGTGAAGCATTTTGAAAAAGAATTGGATTGCACGAAGCACAGTAATCAGCAAATCCTGCAAAGAAATGAAGACTTGGTTAAAGAACTGGAAGCATCTCGCATCCAAAATAATGGAATGACCACTCAATGGGACAGTCTTAAGAGAGAACTTGCTGATGCATTGGTCAGTTGGCTATTTGTATATTATCTATTTTAATTCTTCTCAAGAGAATATTAAAACATTAGTTACACATACTGTGTTTTGACAGTAAAATTTATAATCAGTCCCATAACCGAATGTGGTCATATGGTCACTGCTCAACTGAATACCTGACCAGTTCCCTCCACCTAGAGTCCTGGGTGTGACTATAAACTACATCTGGCATCAAGGCCTCTGATTGAGAGATTGGAGGATTTGAGGTGCATGGAACCACCACTTAGTTGTAGTTGTTCCCAAGTTCACCTTGACCTGTGGTGGTAGCACCTGTTAGGGTTGCAGATATGGGCAAATAGTGAACCCTCCCCAAAAAAAACAAAACAGTATGAATGTAAAAAATACAATCTCATAGTAAAAATACCAGCAATACATTTTTATGTAAAAAAAAAAAAAAAAAAAAAAAAAAATAGCAACAATACATTTTATTTGTAGATGAAAGCATACAATTGCATTCAAAATATATTTAGTTGAAACCATAAAACTGTTCAAATTATTTACATTTCAAGATTAAATAACCCATTGATATGCCATTAAACTAAAATCAACCGACCTTCCACCTAGCTGGGTTAAAAGCCGAAGAAGTATTCATTAATTGTGGATAGCATGTTTTGAACAAGTAAACCTAGTGAAATCATCCCTCTCCAGGTCAAGCCACAGCTGATCTTCTCCAATCTGAAGCCTTGCCTTAGTTGCACACATGTGGCTGTTGATTCCATCAGGACATCCCTCTTCCCTGACCATTGACTTCAGGCTAGAAAGCCCTTTCACTAGCAATTCAGGTTATCACTGCACTGACTGCAGACATAGCTATGGCACCAATCTACCCTATTGTACTAGATATGACTGTTGAACCCTACAAGAAGGTTCATCCTCCTTTAGACAGGTTTTGTTTTTAAACTTGTGGGGTGTCTAGCCACTCTCTTCACCAGAAAAGTCTGGTGGTGGAACCGGTTTAGTTACCAATGATCTGACCATGCAGCAGGTATTAATGGGTCACATGGTATCAGTAGCCCTCATAGAGTGGCCTGATACAGTACACAGTAGAATGTGTAGTATAGTGAGTGGCTTACTCCTTGTCAGAGAGTATGGTTATATTTACTGCTTCTTGCTGGTACATATTAAGATGAGTATCAGATACACTTTAGGCATGGTGCTCTTTCTTGCTAGCTCATTAAGCTGAGACAAGAAAACCACCTCTATAATGTAGCTTCCCTGTGTCTTTTCTATAAATATTTTCATGGCAATTGTTCTTTCCTCTTTCATACCTTGATTTCACAAACTCAGTACTAGATTGGCAGCTAGGTCTTATAATTTCACTGTTAGTTCTGTTCTAATAGTTTCTTCTCTTGCTTGTGAATCCCTTCCAGCTTCCTAATTTCCTGAAATCTTCAAAAGTCTAAATGCAACATCAATTGGCATCTTCTGTCTCCTTGAATCCTGATATTTCATTGCCTTCTGTTTCTTTCACTGTCAGTAATCCCATGCAACTTAGTGCTTTTTATCGCTTTGCTTAAGGTGCAATGTTTAAAAATTAATGACAGGTAGTATGTTTTTTTGTCAGTTTAGTCTTTTCTGAGATCCCAGGAAAGTTTACACTGATAAAAAAACATACACCGTGACAGGTTTTTTTTCTTATCATTTCACCCAAAGCAAGGTAATAAAAGCCACTAAGATGCAAAGGCAGGTGAAGCTCTTTAGCTTTGTAAGGCAGTAAGCTGAAGAGCTCTACTTACCCTGCCTTTTTCCTGTAGCTGTATATCAGGCAGTAAGGAGTAATTCCTTACACACACACACACACACACACACACACACAATTCCGCAGGTTTGAATAAGCAGCTCTAAATAGAGTCTGCCCAAAATTAGCCTTCTGGCATAAAAGTGCTCTATGCTATAAAAATGATGGAGCATTTGAATTTTAATTCAATAACCAGGTAGGCAATGACTGGCCGCTATAAGTTTCATGTGTTTGCACACAATCTTCTGGTAACCAGTAACTTCCAGTACTTGAAGCTGCCTTCAGTAAACCCCATATATATTTAGCTCTGGCAATTTGTATTTTTTTACTTCTTTATATGTGTATTGAACACTTTTTAATACTACTGTTTCCTGGCCTAATTCAACTCTGACCAATAACTGTTTTATTTTATTTATATAATATATATATATATATATATATATATATAGCTAATATTAGTGGTAAATATACATATACAAATGCAAAATATATAAATATGTATACATAGGTGCATACAAATACATGTATATTTTTAGAATAAAAAATTCCAAGAGGATTGAATCCAGGTAGCTCTAACATTCGTCCCACACTCTCATACTTACACTCTCTCTAAATTCTATTTTTATTTCCGGAGTTGTTTTTTCTGTTTTCTTTTTGAATTTGTAGGTCTGATGAATCGGATCGTATTTACAATTCCAGTGGAATAAATCATGGAATATTAGTGTTTAAGCCTTTTTATTATATATATATATATATATATAAGTTTAAAGTTTTATTTTAGGGAAAGAGTGTTCAGTATCATAATAGAGCTTTTATAGTTATAGATAGTATGGACATAGGAATCAAGACTGCAGGATGACTATCAGTTTTATACTTCAATGGAATTTCCAGATTTATGTGTAATGTGCAGTTAGTTTAATTGTTAGCAGCTCAGACTGAGAAATTGGTGAGCTAATTTCGAATTTTGTCAGCATTCTTTATGTTCACTTTCATACAAATACTCTTGGTAATGGTATAAATCCATCTCTTTTCCCTCCAGCTATGAGTTCAATGGCATGGGGAGATTGATGGCTCACTAGCCTTGGTTGACAGCCAATCTAGGAGAGGGAAAACTTTGAATTCAAAACTTGAGTAGGTCTGTTTAGAGATGTAGAGTAGGACTCAGCATCCTTCCTGCTCTTCCTTACTATTGTGACAATGGACTGCTTCTACTTATAAATATGGCAAGTAGCCACATTAGATTACGATTTGAGGAGTAGCTGATTTAATCAAGTTTTTCCATTCTATGTATGAGTATTTAATAGACCTTTCCTTTGTTTTCCCTATCTAGTCTTCTTCAATACTCTCTCTGACTATAGCCTTCTTTAAATCACAGTTATTTTGAACAAAGAGATTACAACAGGAGACTTTGGGGCACATTATGTAGTTTCTCTCTGTTATTAGTTCTTACAAAAGTGTAGCTGGTTCTACACAAACCTTTCCAACTATAATCAAATCATATGTAGGAGGGGTAGTCTGGTGGTTCTGATCTGTTCAGATACTTTTACATCAAGAAATCAACAGGAGAATCCACTCTGTGTATTTTGTGTGTAATACGAGGGTCTCTATTCTTAGAAAATCAATATTCAATGTCCCAATTTTATTTTTTTTTCCCTTTCTCTCTGACCAAGTTTTGAACAGCAACCATCATATGATATGTCACTGATAAAAATCTCACTCTAAGTTTGTTATATATTTTTGACTGATACATAATATTTTTTTTGTTTTATTAGGCAATCAGAGCTGCCCAAGATGAACAACTGCGACTGAAAGACATTGAGATCAATGAACTGAAATCCTTACGTATGGACTTGGAAAAAGATATGCGGACCTCAAACACCTTAATGGAAAAAGTATAAAGCTTCTTTTTTTCATTGGCTTTCTTTGAGATTCTCATCTTACACTTTACTGATATCAATTAAGCACAGCATTGGGCCAAGAAAGTGTGAAAAGAAAGAGAAGGTTATTAAATTGAAGTGCCAAAAAATTAGAGGCAACAATGATTTCACCTTCCCTCATTTTTGTTATAACACACTTCGTAGAGCTTATAATATAAGTAATGCTTCAGCTACATGCCGTGATGCTGGTATTAATTAGTTCGAAGATTGACTCCAAACTGCTGCTGCTGCTTCTTACCTCTGACCTGGAGCTCTTTATTATAGTTATGGACTAGTTCATATAATCACTGGGGGTGTACTATTTACTCCACAACATCCCCCCACTTTTGAGATTAATACTTTTATACATATTTTTACGAGTATTAGTATCTTCCCCTCTACTTTGTGGAGAGTTCGCTAACGTACTTGATTTTGTAGTATTTCTGTCTCAGATCCACTTCCAGTTCTTCAGTACACTTTCTTTTTCTGGAACTTGTTTTTGTAGGTTCCATGACTTGTGGTGGTGGCACATCAAAAACATCATACAGCATTTTTATCGGTTCTTCAAATGTCTCAGTGTCACTCTACACTCTCCCTAGTCATCCAATATGTTCAACACCTGCAGTCAATCAAATAGGTGATCACTTTGATCCAGGTCCTGCCTTATCTCACATTGTGATTTGCTTTGATTATAAGGCAGCCAAGATCGAATCATCATCAGGTTTTGTATTTTTATTGGGCTGGTCCAAGCAGGGAGAAGATGCAAAAAAAGAAAATAATACTCAAATAAAAAAATAAATACTATTTTTATATAAGGTCCTTTGTACAACTGTTGGTTAATTGTTGTTAAAGTCTAGGAGTTTGTATACAGACAATTATCAGCTCAACCCACTTCTAAGTTGGACGTGACACTTTGTTGACTTGGGGAAAGTTTGGCACAATGCTGATGTCAGATAATCACATGTAATGACCTCTCTCAACGATCTCCCTTTTCTCACTTCGAGGCATTCATATTTATTGACGTTCACCCAAAACCAGTGTGGGGCATGATACAGTTGGGGAAGTCAGTGTTTTCCCAACTTTCAACAAAAACCCTCTTCCTGCTGTCTGGGTTTTGAAAAAGTTAATTACTTCCCAATTTGGGAGTTTCTCCCTTTCCTTGGGTGAATGTCACAGGTATTAATCTGACCCATAACTTTCACCTTCTCTTATTGTCATCTCCTACTAACCCTCCTTGGTGTTTCATCTGCACCCGCCACCTCTCGACCAATGGTTTTTGACTCTCTGTTGAAGATTAATTCCAAATTTCATTATCTATGCAGAGATTTTGTTTTCACGACAACCCCACGTTTTCCATTGTCCAAAATTGAAACACAACCCAGTTGACTTTCCAAACCTTTGGGGTTTCATCAAGGTCATTCGCTAAGAGAATTCTTATCTCCGAATTATGGTTTTAAATCCTATCCAATTCTCTCCTCTTGCCTTCACAGCCTGTATTTTTAGCTGTATGTCATCAACCAAGTGTCAACATATTTGCTATATGACCTGTTGCAGTTTAATGTTGTTTTCTCTGTCCTATTTGAGAATTAAATTCTTCAGTCTTTCTCATGGGGTTTTACTGATATGTTGGTTGGTCTATTCATTAACCCTTCTTCTTATTTACCAGTAACAAATAGTGTCACATCAGGTCTTTAACTGATGAACCATTTTTTTTTTTTTTTTTTTTTTTTTCAGCTAATTATGGTGCCTTTTATGTTCAAATCTTTTCCCTTTTACTATGTAAATGAACTTCCCAATTTGCTGTCTTCTCACATTTCTTTGCCATACTCATATGCTCTAAAGAATGTTATTGCTGACCTTGAAACTTTTGGTATTGTTTTTCATAATATATTCAATGGAGAACATCTTACAAAAGTCTTCAAATTCTTTACCCATGGATTGTGTTCTGTTATCAGAGACTATGGTATCTGGTATGCCATATCTCGCAAATAGTTCATGCAAGAAATTCACTGTTGCCTGAAGATGTTGGATTTTTACACTTGTAAATTTCCGGCCATTTAGTGAAACTATCAACTACCACAAGATAATGTGATCCATTTATAGGACCTGCTAAAATTTATATGCAGTCTTGACCATAGTGTGTCTATATCTTTGGCCAAGGTTCTATCTTTGTGATAGGTATTTTTGCTGCCAGAGCACAACCTCTGCAAGCCTTCATTATTTTTTCAATATCTCAGTCCTTTCTGGTCCAATATACAAACTTCTCATCAGAGATTTAGCCTTTACCATGCTGGAGGCAAAAATTGTCACCATAGAATTCTCTCCCTTCGCTGCTCTAGGTGCATTATGTCGCCTTGTGACAGTTGCTATAAATAAACACTAAAAATTTCTGTTTTCCAATACCATTTTGAATTCTTCTAGACTCTACACAAAGTGTAACATTGATTAAACCCATGTTAATTTTTTCACAATTTTTTGTAAACAAAAATGCTGCATCAACCTCCAAGAAAGCCTTTATTCAGGATTTTTTCTTTGATTTGGACTCTGATGATGATTTTGAAGGCTTTACTCAAGTGGATATAGATGATGAAGTGGTCAAAAATGTTAACCATGCCTCAATACATGGAGGAAAACAATGATGACCACTATATGAACACTAGTGGCTACTATCATCCATGGCTGACTAATTTTATGGAAGCTACTGAAGACCATTAATACACCTGATAGCCTTTCTGAATGCAAATTATTTTGTCTATTTATAAATGAAGAATAACTTTATTTGTCAATGAAACAAATGAATATGCTAGTCAGGTGAAAGAAAGACCAAATAAATGCTGGTGTCTTCCTATATATAAACATGAGGAAGCACATCACTTTTTTTGATGAAATGTAAACCTTCTTAGCCATTTAGCTTCTTATTGCACCCCCCAGAACTACAAGGAGTGTAATAAAAGTTAAAGTATGTTAATTTGTTTTTATTTTGCATTTCAATTTTTTGTTTTTGATGTCAAAACATGCATGCAAAACATAATGCATTACACCAAAATATTACTCATTCTTTTATTAGTGTACAAAAAATAGAATCTATGCACACAATATAAAGAAAGTCATGACAATTTTAAAAGTGTTCATGTTTTTGCACCCTTAAAAAAATGAAGTGGCAGGGGAATAATTCTAAAAAGAAATCAGCATGGTAAAGGTTAATTTTTGAATTACCAGGATGTCTGCGATGAAAACCCTTCATGTGGTGAAAGAGAAAATCACTTACCGAGAAAAAGCTTGTGTGTTTTGTACGATATGTGGAAGACAAAATAGAAACAAGTCAGTCACAGGTGTTGCCATAAATGTATCTCAGATATGCTAATATTGTTTGTCTCCAACTGTTGGCCAGTGAAAAAATTGTTCCTTTGATAAAAGCAGTAGGCATTGTCGAATTATGAAGTTGTTTTTATTTTGCTACCTCGTTCGTTGGCTTGCATGTAATTGTTGGCTTGTCGGTTGGATTTCTGAATGTTTGTGTGTATTGGATTTTTGATACTGGACATGCAATTCATGGTTTCGACATTTCCTTCTGCCCCTGGATCTTCTAGTTTGAATTTGTGATTTGTTTATTTTGTTGTGGAACAAGCTATTTCGTCACGTAATATTCATGGACCAATTTGACTTTGATACTTGAGTTTGATGGTTTGTCCCTTGGCCTATCTGTTGTTGAGTTGGTGGAGAAGGCAGAGCTCATTTGCCAACTATGCAAATTGAAAGAGCCAGCAACAGTCATTCCTTTGAGGCTGTCGATAGGTGCCTACACTGTGTACCAGCAGCTTAAAGAGGAAGAGAAAAACTGACTTTACTGACATAAAATGGACTATTTATACAGCCTTTGAAACAGATCCATTTCTGGCATATCAACCATTTATTGGGCACTCACTTCTCCCTGGTGAAATGGTTGATGCATACCTGGCTGATTTATGGAAACTTTCTGTGCCATTTGGGGGTATGAATGACCGGATGCTGGGATGCACCTTTGTAGCAGGATTGCCAGATGAGGTCAGTCAGCTTTTCAAGCAACATCCAGAATGGTTGAATTATTGACTGGCCAACTATTTACCTGAGCCATTTGCAAAAAGTCAGAAGAGGAACTGATGGTAGTGACTGCAAGGGACAACCAAAGTGAACATGTTCTCCCAACTGTAGTCCCTTCTGCTACAGATGTAATGGCCCAAACCACCTGGCAAGGGACTGCCTCTAAAAGAGGCAAGTAAATCAGACACATTGCTACCACTGCCAGGGCACTTGTCACAAAAATGTCTGGGGGTGATACATCAGTGCCAGTCTCTCTTTCCTGCAACTCATGAAAGAGACGCTCCATGTAATCAATGCATGTATTGATGGGGGTGAAACACACTGCCTTTGTGGATACTGGTTGTTTGCATTCACTGACAAACATATCCAATTGCGGTCCATGGAAAAGACAAGAGGTGGACATGCTAATGCAGAGGTCCTCAGAAGTTGAGTCACAAGACCTAGACATCATCATGGAAGTGGTCGGATGGACACTCACAGGATTATATGAAAAACTGGGTATCTGAGTACCCAGTGTCTAAGCAGGCAATGAGGGAATATCAGCATGAATTACAGATATGGATAAATGACAGGTGGTTGATATCTTATCCGAAAAAAGAACTCTGTTCCTCAAGGAGCCTGATCCCATTAATGGCAGTAGTTAAAAAGAATAAAGGAAAGGTCTGCCTGGCATTAGATTACCACAAGCTAAATGATCATGTTGACACATACACAGCTTATGCTGATATTTGTGCCGAAAAATTGAGAGAATGGCAGATAAAAGGAACTAATGTTTCTGTGCTTGATCTTCAGAGAGCATACCTACAGATATATGTGCATCGATTACTATGATCATTTCAAACAGTCATTTATAAAGGGCAGAGGTACTGCCTGACAAGAATGGGATTTGGGATCAATGTGGCACTGTCTATCATGAGAGCCATTGCGAATACTGTGATTCTGTCTAAGGACTTAGTACAACACCTTGATCATCTTTTCTATCATTGCAGCCAGACATGTTAATTGGTATAAATTTTAAATTGCAGACTGAAAACGAACTTCAACAAAGCCACCTTCGTACATCAACTCTTGAAAGTGAAAAAGTTCAATTAGAAGAAAAATTATCCACTCTTAATGGTGCACATCAACTGGCACAAGACCATGCACAACAACTCAAGGTAAAAACTTCTCTATATTTAACAAACCTACAGTGAACATTACTAATTTTTGACACATATTTCTTTCATCTTAATTTTAGTTGCTTTTCATTGCAACTATTCTGACCATCACTCTATGGCTATTAGTAAACAAGTAATAATATTATCTGCATTTTAATTAGATGAAGCAATATCAGCCATTATTAATTTTTGACTTGTATTTCTTTCATCTTATTTTTAGTTGCTTTTCATCACAACTGTGCAGACTATCAGTCAATAACTGTTAATAAACAGTATGGATAAAAAATAAAGAATAAGTTCTTGCTGAAACTCAAATTTGAATCCTTTTTACTTTGGGAAGGTTATCTCCCTTTATGAACAGGACAAGTTTAAATCTCCCAGAGAGTTTATTCTTTATTTATAATCCATGCATTCTGTTAAGTGTTGTAGAAAGATGAGCTGAAGAGTTCTGATGGAAAAGTAACTGAAATTCAAATAAAAAAATTTTTTTTTAAATTAGAGCTACTTCACAATTTTACATCTAATAGAAATTCAAGAAACTATAAACCTATTATAATTTACAAGTTCTGTAAAGGCCTTGTGCGTTTTCATTTGAATAAATTTGTCTTTCAGTCCCCCTGTCAAAGTTGGAAATGAGTGTAAAAACTATTATTGTTACAGCTGTTTGGATGGTGAGGAGAGTTGTTTGCCAAAATGCTCAGGAATGAGTGACCACCAACAGCAATATATTCATTGTCAAGGTGTCTGGTTAGAGAATTGAGCACAGGGAGAGGTAGATTCATGCCTCTCACAAAGAGTGAACATAAGCAGAATAAGCTGAAATTTAATCCTGTTTATCAATTGCAACTGTAAATAATGTGAAGATAGAATACAGGGAAAAGTAAATTCATGCCTTTCCTGTAGACAGTATTCTTAAATGAAAATGTTGCTTAAGATGAAATTTAAACCCTGTTTATCAATTTCATTTTCCCTGCTGATAACCATTGTTATATTGCATCGCTAATAAATTACAAGAACAATCACCTTAGAAACACCGGTTCTCATATGATCACCAAAGTTGAGCAACATCAAGTCTGTTCAGTACCTAGATGAGTGACTGCTTTGGAATACTAGGTGCTGTAAATTTGGATGTGTGGGTGGTGTAATGGATAACAACTAGGAATTAAAAATCTGAGAATTGAGTTTTAATTCCAGTTGGGTTCATTATATTCACTTGCATGTAAATTCACTTGGGAAAGGTATGAATCCACTTCTTCTCCCCCTGCCTAACTTTGGATTAATTACCAGGACTTGTATCAGTAAAGCATTATCTTCAAAAAAATTCTTGCAATCTAAAAAAAAATATTTTCTGGCTTTAAAAAACCTATAAAAGGTTGATAAGTCATAAAAAAACAACCAACCAACCAATCAATCACCTTAGGTATCTCAAAGTCCTTTGACAAGGTGTAGTATAAGTGGCTGCTACACAGACTCTCCAGCTATGGAATCTCTAGAAGAGTCCTTACAATCGTCTAGTCCTTTCTATCAGTAGGCCCTTAAAGGTCATTGACAATGGCCAGGCTTCTGAAGTGTATGAGACCAATACAGGCATTTCACAAGGCTCACTACTCAGTCCTATCATCTTTCTGCTTTATATTAATGATCTGCCTAAGAACAATCTTAGTAAATATCTATGCAGATGGTATCACAGTTTATGGGTGCACCTCCAAAAATCTAAATGACCAGAGCCTGGCAGCCAATCTCTCATCTGGCCTAGCTCCAACAGCCCAATCAGGGAGGAAAACTGACTCATAATATTCAATACTTAAAAAATGAAGCTTGTAACTTTTAATCATCACCAAGTTGACCCTAAATCCTTACCAATCATGATAAATGGTTGCACTTTCAATGAGGCTCTGTGCTTGGAGCATCTTTTGTGATTCAAGCACACCTCATATATATATATATATGTCCCTTTGCTAAAGGTGCTGAAAAAAAGATTAAATCCTTATACCAATTCAGAAAGTACCTGATTCCACCTGCCATTCTCTATCTTTGCAAGAATTAGGTCAGATCAAAACTGGAATATTGCTTCCATATCTGAGCTTGAGTTGTTCAATCCTCTTTTTCCAGCTCTTGATGTGTTCAAAAATGTTTATACAGCCTTGTAGGTGAGGAATTATTTTTCACTATACAACCACTCTCCCACAGACACAACATTGCAAAACTCTATTGTTATTTCCATTCTTTACTTCCACCAGTTTAAGACATGCCATATACACAGTTCCTTTTGTATTCCATTAGCAAGAAGAAGGTTCCATTCAGGCATCTTCTTCTCAAGAGCTACTTTATAGAACAGACTCAAGGCACAATGAGTCTCTTTCATGGAGGTTAGCATCAGCCATATCAATTGCTAGGAAATTTGTCCCAGCTTTCTCGCATCAAAGGGTTGAGGTTAAAAATAGGGTTGAGGCTTAAATTTTTTGCGAAAAAACGCAAGTAAATCTGCAAGATTAGAGTGGACAAACTCTCTCTTTTAGGCGCATACGAATAAAGAAAAAACTCCTGCTCGGTGAGTAACAACAAAAGAAGAAAGTGTTTATTTACAACATATACAGAAAAAAAAGGTAAAGGGAAAAGGACAATTAGGAGAGAAAGAAAGGGAAAAGAGAAAATGTTCTTAACTTAAAAAGGCTTGCTCAAAATATTTCTTTGAGCGCCTAAAGAGTTCTTTAAGCGATTTAAGAATCTTAATGTTCTGATAGAAACACTCACAGTTCTTGTAAAGTTGGAAATTTGTTCGCAGATGAAGGAAGCCTGCAGCTTTTTTTGGTCGACGACAGAAGTCCAGTGGGCTTGTCAGAAGGAGTGGTGAATGGATGCAGCTTTTTGGATTGGTCTTGAATAGTGGACCGACGTTAGTTTTTGACAGCCCTTTTTAGTAGTAGTTCTTTGATGAAAGAGGTGCTGGGAGCTTCCTAGTGTCGACCTCACAGACGGTGGGCAGAAATCTCACTGTCGAAATAGGCAAGATTCTCCAAATTTATGGAGTTTTGGGAGGCTCCGATGGATCGGGGACTTTTCCCTCCAAAATTGTTGTACAAATTTCCTGACCCCTCTATTGGTCAAAAAACACATTCTTATCTCTGATAAGAATCAGGGCCCTGGGAGCCAGTTTCAAAGGTACTGAAGACAGGTTGAAGTGAAGAAGCTGTGAGGTTTCTCCCAGACTTTATGGCACCATGGAAAGAATAATGGTGGTGGAATTCCTTTTTATTTTCCAGCTCTCTCCTTAGTCAGAAAATATATTCTTATCTCTGATAAGAATCAAGGCCTTGGGAGCCGGTTTTGAAATTAAAAAGAGGTTAGAGTGAGGATAGAAAAAATAGCGAGAATGTGAACTTGTGAAATTGTTGTTCTCAAATTAAATTTCAACACTATGGATGGCAATTAGCTGTCTCAGATAATTAATAGAGAGAAGTTTCCTTTTGAAGAGGTTAAAATTAACAAGACTTTCCTTATTCCAGTAATCCTGGAAGATTGTAGGTCATTTTTTTAGATCTGCCAATTTAACCTTATCAAACTAATCAGACTTACTATTGAGACAAAAGTAAGTAGTTGTCATCAGTTGAGAACTGATGCCATCAGGAAGGACATCTCTAATTTGTCAGATAAAATTGCATTTTATGAAAAGTCAGTTTATTAATGATCCTTACTCTTTAAAAGAATATTATACTAATTAAATTTTAGTAATTTTAGTTCTGCTGCCACAAATACATTTTTCAAATGACTAAGTAGGCTAGGTACCAGCAATATTTCAATATTATCAATTCTAGTAAAAAGGGATTTATTTGAATGAAAAGCTATACTGAACTTTATATAACATTTGAAAATAAGTAGATAACATGCAGCCTAGTGGTAGACTGACACAATAGGCTAGGTACCAGCAATATTCAAATATTATCTCTTATAGTAAAAAAAAAAAAAAAAAAAAGAATTATTTGAATTAAAAACTAATATAACAATAAAAAATAAGTAGGTATTGTTTTAATAAGTGAATTTATCACATCTGCTATCTTGTAAATTACCTGAGCAGATTATATTTATAACATAGTTGTAGATTTTCTGCATATATTATTTCACAATTTAAAATGGTCATTACGTGTTCAAGATTTATATCAGAGATTGGCTTCATCATGAGAGTTACTTAATATCTATCTGGATTTGCAATTTTTTTTTTTCTTGAAATATAATGTTGAATGCTGTTCTCTGTGGAAAGAATAGTGTTTTTGTTCTCAAAATAAAAAAATCAGGGAATATTGGAGAAGTGACAATTGTGGAATTGATAAAGTTTGAATTGACATTGTCCACATATTGAAGGAGATTAGAAAATTGTAAAGTACTTCCATACCACAACCAAAAATCATTCCTGGTGGTTTAGACAAAATCTTTAACTATCTGCTGTTTGAACATTAAGTAAATAAAAGCTTATCTGAAAAGATGACAAGGTACCAAAAATCTGTAGAGTAAAGAAAGTATTTCATCATAGAATCTAAAACATCAACTTATCTCTTATTCAAAACCAGTTGAGCTAAAAACTTTTCAAAATTTAGAATCTTTCAGATTTTGGAATCGTATGATAGGTAAGATATATAGAGTAGACAATTAAGTTGATTGTTATGGAATGCTAGTGCATCTGCAGCGAAACTTGTAAATATTCACCTTGAGCTGGGCGAATTAAGATTATAAATAAAATTTCTGTTTATTTGTAAAGTGATAATTGAAATGAGATAAAGATACACCATAAGGGGGATAAATTAAAACTACACTATTTACATTATTCAGACTATTGTCCTCATCTTTGTCACCATATTTATCACAACGTTTCGGCTGTTGTACATTCCGGCCTTCTTCAGGTGGTTGGAATGTCGAACTGAACCCTTTATTTCGCTCACTGGGGTAAACTGTTCTAGTTCCACGTGCCATGTTTTAATGGATGTCAGTATATCAGTTATCTCCTGTTAATTCCCCTCTGCAAGCTCTCCACTGGGTAACTGGGTATTGAACTCACACTCTTTGGGTCTTCAAGGACACATGGTACAGTAGATAAAGGCATTGGTTAGATCTAGTGACAGGATCCAAAGAGTGTAAGTTCAATACCTGGCTATGGCAAAGTCCAGAGAGAGAGAGAAAAAAAAGGAGGAAGAATGGGAGTTGCTGCTCCTTTTTATATGCTCCTGCAAGTGATTTTCATTGGCTTTGGGGTAGCCTAACATCATGTCTATTTTTTGCCATGGAAATAAGAATGATATACATATATTAACTTCCACTAGACTCCACACAATATATATATTTGTACAGAGGTGGGGGGAGTGAAATAAGATAAACATAAGCCATAAGTGGGTAAATTAACACTATAAAGGATATTACAATTTTTTGTGCAATGGTAAATGAAAATCATGAACAATAAAATTGCTGGTATATGTTTTTGTTAGTAAAAAAAAAAAATAGCAATAAAAACTTGAGCATTGTTTTTCTAGGAGAAATGTTTGGGTTTTCAGAGTTTTATTTTTTCAGTATTTTGGACAAACGATTGTGAATCTGTGTTATAGAAACTGTTAGTAATATTTTTTATTTGTAATTTTAGTTCATTTTTTTTTTATTCTAAATAATGATTTATTTATTTATTTTTTTTTTTTTTTGATTTTTTTTTTTCAGTATGAAATCCAAGAATTGAGTCAAGCAAAAGCTGACCTTTCTGCACAACTAACTGACATCATTAACCAACGACAGGTAAGAAAAAAAAAAGAATTTTTAATTTGTCATAAGTTCTGTGCTTGTAAGTTCAAAACATGCACTGCAATTGTTGCAGCAGTCTAGAACAGAATTGCCTGACAGAGCCCATCTCTTTTCAGACTGGTTTCAAATTCAGTGTTTTCCTTCTAGACTGAATGCAACCTCAATGCAAGGCAGTTCAGTCTGCAGTTTAACCTGTAGCTGGAGGAAAGTGGATTCATGCCTTTTCTAAGAGAATTAGCATGAAGTGAATGAAACAGAATTTATCAGAATTTGAACTCTCCTCATTGGTTTCACATTCCATGTCAATAACAATTGGACTATCCATGCTCTACCAAATTCTTAATTATTAACTCATGAAAGAGAAGAATTTACGACACATTGACTAAATGAAAAGCATGAAAGATGAGGATAAAACTGAAAATATTGTTGAATATTCCCAAGTGTTTTTAACCTGGTAGAATTAATACATCCTTTATTTTGTTGCTTTTTATCTCTTAGTTGATCTCTTCTTCTATGGCTGTTAGATTACAAGTAATATCACTAAACTGTTCAAAAATTATGAGTGGAAATATTTACATTGTTCTATATTTTTAATTGTTAATTCTGATTGCTTATTATTGATCCTTATTAATCTCTTTTTATTCCAACATTTTTAACAAATCGAGTGTTTCTCACCCCCATTGTTTTTTGGTTTTTCTTTTTTTCAGAGAATAATTAAAACTCTGAGGTACACTTTAAATTTTAATAACAAAAAAATTAGTTATGAAATTTGAAAACAGGAAAATAATAAAGAACATTTATTTTTAAGACATTACATTGTATATTGTACATGTGTGAAACCTGTGCTTTGTCAATTTTTTGACTGTTAAGCCTTATATGTGATAATTTTTTCTTCATCAAGGCATTTTAATATTTGATCTATTTTTCTATTTGGTAAATGCTAAAAATCCTAAATTATCTTTAATGGTTGTTATTTTTGGCTTAGCATTCCCCAAAGAGGATTAGTGATACAGTTTTCATTTAAAGGGATTTATGAAGAATCATTTTTTTTCTTTTTTTTTTTTTTTAGATAGGTCAGTAATGACTGATTTAAATCTCTATGAAGAAGGCAAAAAAAGAAAGGATTATCCATTCCTTTTTCAAGATTAAGGAATTTAACATTCAGTTTAAAATTTCAAATGACAAAGACTTAGACAAGGAAACCTTGTGCTTGGTGTCTAGCTTTTTAAAAATAAGGATTTTTTTTAAATATAAAAATAATTCATAAATTACTCTTCTGTTAATTTGGGGTACATTAGTTGAGAAACACTGGTTTAAGCTATTTCCTTGGCTTTTAACTTAAACCACATCCTATAGAAAAGAAAACATGGCTTTCAGAAAGATTTAAACTCATGTCCCATACCTCAAGAATTAATTTTACATGGAAGATAAGAATTTTTTGACATTGTTGATCCAATGAGGTAATTACCAGGATGTGGTGAGTTAGGGAAAATGTTGATCATTGATTAATTTGATGTGGTCAAGTAAAAATCAGAATCGGTCCTGTGTGGCAAAAAGCAAAAAAAAAAAAAATGGTGGGAAGCAGCTAATTGCTAAGATGTACACAAGACAGTACCAGAAAATTCTCTGACAATATATACTATGATTGTACCATTTGACTGAAATGTACATGCAGTTAATACTCATTGGTATCTAGCCTACTGAGTCAGTCTACCACTATGCTTCATGCTACCAACGTATTTACAATTGTTATATGAGGCTGATTTTTTTAAGATGTATAGTTGAAGTAGAATTTAGAAGGAACTGGAAACCCAATGCTAAACAATGGATAAACCTCTACTCCTGTTCAAAAGAGGGGAGCAGTGAACTGGATGACAGATGAACCGATCTAATCTTATTGTAGTAAAAAAATGTTTAGTATAGTTTTTCATTCAAATAGATCCCATTTTACTATAACAGACAATATTGGAATATTGCTGATACCTAACCTACTGAGTCAGTCTACCACTAGGCTTCATGTTACCAACTTATATTCAATTATTATATAAAGTTTAGTATAGTTTTTCATTCAAATTTACTACAAAAGACAATATTATAATGTACCCAGACTTTATGTACTCTGATAATATTCAATATAGATGTTCATGCAGCTAATACTTATTATTATGTAGTCTACTTCATGGCTTTATAAATGACTTCAAAAATTGATTCAATCATTTTTCTTTTTTTTTCTCGCTTATTAATGTCATTTTGAAGGATCTTCGTCAAGCAAACGTTGACTTAGAATTGAAGGAATCACAACTGAAACAACAATGTGAAGCTTTGCAAACACAACTGAAGGAGGTAAGCAGATTTGAATCCAAATTCCCAAATAACCTTTGATGAATTATTTTGAATTCTAACAAGTTACATGTACTGTAGTCCTTTTTTATCTACAGCAAATGTTTCACAATGCTTGAAATCATGGTTAATACTGTAAACTACCAAGTTGGGTCATAAGTAATTTCCATTTTCAGGAACCAATTGTAATAATGAATGTGTCTTTTGTTTTTGTTAATCATTTCACCTCAAGCAAGGCGATAAAGCCACCAAGATGCAAAGGGGTTACTGAGAGTGAAGGAAACTGAGAAAGACATTACTGTGAAGAAAAGATAATAAAAAGAACAGGGTTCAAGGAGACAGTTGATGATGATTGGTGATGTATTTAAATTTTTTGAAGATTGTCATTGAGAGGAAAGCAAGAAACTGTAAGAGTTTCGCAGACAAGAATTGCAGAAGAAGAAACTATTAGGATAGAATTTTAATAGCAAAATGATGAGACCTAGCTGCCAATCTAGTACTATACTTGAATTTATGAAGTCAAGGTACAAAAGAGGAAAGCGATATTTATTTTGTATTAAAATAAAAAAAATGTGGCACAAGGCCAAAAGTGGAAATGAGGGAAGGCTGGTCTTCTTCTGTCTAAATAAAGTGGGGGCAGAAATGAAAAAATGTCAATGAGCTTACACACCCTAGCTAAGTAGACTTTGAAAGAAGAAACTAAGGATGAAAACAACCCTAAACTAACCTAATTTTGAACTGGGTTGCCGATGTTCAATCCAGTTCAAACAATATCCTAATGCCTAACTGGCATCAAAGTGCTACTCTAAATTGGCCCCCCTTACTTGACAGATATAGGCAAGACTCACCTACCATTTGCCAAATTCTGATGGGGGCAATTGCCGCCTTTCTGTCCTGATCTTGACTTTAAGCTGATGAAGTACAAGATCAGTTGAGAAGAAGTGACTTCTCATCACTGTTTTGATGTGTCATCTATATCACAACTCACATAACACCTAGCAAGCAAAAAAACACATAGTGTCCAGCCTTTGTCAATGATGATACCACATTGCTACAGACAGAACTGGCCTGAAGGATGAAAAACTTTCCGCGCAACATACAAACCATATCTTCAATAAATCTGCACCACAGGACTATGACCCTGCAGTGACCCTGCCTCACCATAGCGAAGGGAGTTTGGAGATTTTTCCAAGCTCACCAAAGAGAGTATTTTGCTGACCCAGAGGGCCCTTTGAATCACCAGCCAGGTGAATTATGCCTCATCATTAGTGAGGCATTTCAACCTGGGCTCCTAAGGCCATATGAAGCAAGCCACCTGCTTTGTAAGACTGAGCTCACCTATCAAATCTTGAATGGGGCCTGCTCAATAATACGTGATATAATGACTTACAAAACAATGGCTGGATGTTGGAGAAGCCATCTGTCACCTCTAAGCAGTGCTTGAGAGCAATCCAACATTTATGGTAGAAGGAGCCTTCATCCAGGGACAAACTGGGTGGGTGACTCCTTTCTCACATGAGTACACACTTCTCAGGGATGGGAAGTTCTTATAGGCATTTTCCTTCCAGAATTCACCCTCACCATCCAATTGCTGACACATTCAATCTAGGAACATGATGCAAAGCATATGTTGACTAATCTCAATACTAGGCATAGCCTGACCACCTTCAGAAGGGTGGAGTTAACAGATCTCCCAAACTTTAGAGGCCTTGCCTTCTCTCACGATGAAGAACGAGACCCTTACTAATGTTATTAGAATGGCATATGGGAGTGGATGCATGGAGAGTTGGTAAAGGAGAATCAGGTAGATGTGTGAAGCACATACTTCTGTCCTCCTCTTTAGAGAAAGATTCCTCCAGGACCACAGACAAACTTCAACCTCGGCCTTCTCCCGCACCTCTGATCAATTCATTTCCAACAGGAGATAGGGTCTGAACCAGACACCAAGTATCTTGACTGGCCTGTCCATCCAGAGGAAAGATCCAGAAAAAGAAATGACCTTCCCTGCACCCAGTCACAAACCAATAAACTTATTGCAGTTGATCTTGTCCCCTGTCAACATCTAGTATCCTCTGATCCCTTTGCTAACTTTGTCAATCTCAGCTCTGCTCAACACAAGAACTGAAACGTCAGCATAGGCGGAGTACTTGAACAAGGTGGTAGCCACCAGGTAGGGAAATTCTGTATAGGACCGAATTCATCTTTAGCATGTGAAGGAGAGGCTCCAATGCAAGAATGTACAGCAAAGGCAAAAGCAGACAACCTTGATGAATGGAGCGAGACAATATAAAAGGCTCCAATAAAGCCCCATTCACTTTCACCAGTGGACCCAGGGACTCATACAGAAGCTGGATTCATGTGCGAAAGTATGACCCAAAACTAACAGTGGAAAGGACAGCTTCCAGAAAACAATAGTCAACCCTATCGAATGCCATGGACTGATCTAAATTGATCATTGCAGCTTCACTGTTGACTTGCTTGATGATCAAGCATACCAAATGGAAGTTGTCCTGAATAGTTCTGCTCTTCACAGCACAAATCTCTTTGGAGTCAATCGGACAAGGGAGGACATCCTGTAAACAGCTGGCTAAGATCTTGGCTAAAATATTTAACTCTGTATTTAACATAGTTAAAAGCCAAAACTTACTTATCCTATCCCTGCCACTTTTGTCCTTTTGTGTAACAACTTGCGTAACAACTTGATCATGCCCTTGGTGAAGCATTCAGGTATAGATCCCTGCTTCATCCAGTTGTTGTAAATTGGTTCAGCAAAGGAACAAGAACGGGTGACTGCCTCAAGTACAGTTCATGTTAAAGACCATCTAATCCCAGAGCTTTGTCCCAGCCAATCAGCTTCAGCACTTCCCAAATCTTAGACTTTGTAAGGGGACACTTGCAGCCAGCTACCTCAAGGCAGAGAAAGTCTGCCAAATAGGCATTGAACTGAGCAGTGCTCAAATTGGGCTCCTTGATGAAGAGATCCTTAAAGTAATCATGAAAAGCCTCACATATGCCCATGTTTGTTGTCACAGTTCACTTATGTAGCAATGTGACATGCAATATGACTATTGGATGCATTTCTAACTACCTCTGCATGCAATACAGTGGCCATATTCATTGCCTCAGAAGACATTCTTTTTAACCTAGCTCTAGCTTGATCCTTCTTGATAAGCAAGGAGACCAACTCTCCCTAGATAAGGCTACTTCTCCACTATCATGGGACTTAATTATCCATCAAAAACAGATTGTTCCGCTGAAAAAAATCAGGCCACTCTATATGGTCATTGGATGCATAAACTTCAGTGAGATGAAAAGCCTTATCCTTTATGCCCACTAGATCTGTAAAGACAAACACCACATACAAAGACTTGCTCACCAGCCAGGAAACACCTTTTGAGTGTCCATCAAAATACACTGAATAGAGGACAACCCCTTAGACAGAATGTATTCACTATTGTGAATTGAAAACTGGGTCTCCTGTACACAACATACATTGAAGATCACAAGCGAGCATTGCCTTGCAAGACTCTAACCTCAGGCCCCAGGTAATCACACTAGCCAACTAGAGAGACATTATCAGACTGATTAGGGTTGCTCTTCTGTATTGAATGTAACTGGGGTGGGGGACACTGATGACCTGTCCAATTGAGCCTAGACCCATTTCACTTATGATGCTATCAGGAGACAGGCTACCAATGTCCAAAGAAAGTGTTAATTTAAGAGCTATAGAGGGAAGGGTGAACAAAATGCAAGAGCCTCCTAGCACAATGGTGTTGTAATCTTTTGATATTATTGTTGTCAAAATAGGCCAGTGGTGGGCACATTGAGATGTCATTGTTGGCCTCCTCAATCATGCTCCGTATCTGCCATGCATCCAAGCCTGATCGAATCAAGGGGCCATGATCTTTTTTGATGATGGGGAAAACAAGGAAGAGGATATGGGGTCTTGTACTCCCACTAGCTTTGGTTTTTTAACTGCTTTGCTTCTAAGTTTTCTTTTAATTTTCTCAACTTCTCCATTTTTTTCCAGCTTGGTTTATTCTTCTTTTGTATCTCGCTAGCAGTAGTAGCATACATTGCCCTTAGAGCTGGTAGTGGGAATGGGACTGTAGATGGCTTTTGTCCTGGGGATGTCAGGGGACTGAAGCCCTACTGTTTGGCTCTTTCCCTCTGCCCCTACTAGTGACACTCCATTTTCCTTCTTCCTTTTCCTTACTTGCACTTGCAAGAAGTATCAGTTTTTTTGGGAATTTGGGACACGACCCAACCAAGAGTTTGTCCACACCGGTTAGAGTTGCTGGTAGGCCCATTACAGGTGCAGTGGAACTATCAGTATTGGCCAGAGGGGGATTTGGGTCACCCATGGCCAGAATTCCAGAGGCCTTCTTTTCTGGACAGGAAGAGGAAGTGTGACCAGTCTCTCCACATTTCCATTTTCTGCTGGTCACGATGACCAGCATTTTCTGGCCACAAAAGTCCAAACATTTGGGGACTGAGATGAAAGCCAAATGATTGAGCATAATACCAAAGATCCATCCCCCGTCCAGCTAGATATTAACCCAATAAAATAAATATTGGCCAAAAACCATCGAGGGAAAACTAAAAAAGAAAATGACTGACAACAAAAAAAACTGTTAAAAAAATCAAAACAACAAAAAAAAGATTTCTGTTAAGGATTTCAAGTTCTTTTAAATAAAGGAGATAATAAATAAAAAGGTAAACTATAAATTGAACATAAACACAGTAAAACAAAAAACAGTAGTCTGGTAAGACTTTACATCAGACTAGAAAAATAAAAATAAAGATGGCACCCAAATCCAAGGGGGAAAACTGAAACAAAAAAGACTGAAAAGAAAAATTCAAAATTCAAATCAACTTAACAGGTGTTTCAGGTGAAAAATAAAGTTCTTAATTTGTTTGTCAAAGGTTTCACTTGAACACTCTCTTGTAACTTCCCTGGTTTGCAAAAAGGTTAGTTCACATCAATAACGAGACTTAAATGTAGCAAAGAGGAAAGCTCATTAGAATAATTGCCATGAAAATATTTATAGAAAAACCATATGTTGTGTTAGTGGGAAAGTGATTGAAGCTAAGACATTAGGCTAGGACTGATAACATTATATATTTTTTGAATTTTGTTAAGAATCTCTAGATACATAGCAGAAGCACCAGACCAGATGTAGCAACACTATTCAATGCATGGATGAATGGTAGACTTATAAATGTGCAAAATTTATATATTATTTATTATTATATATAAAAAAATAAAATAAAAGCCTATTGGGGCTTAAACTCAACCTGGACTCCAAGTGGTATTCGTACATACAATCTATTGGTAAATATATTGGAAAAACAGTCAGTTCCCTGTAGGACTCCAGTAAGTACCTGACCATTCCCGATATCATCTACCTTTACAAGAGTCAGATCAGATTGATAATGGAGTACTACTGCTATATATAGGCAGGAGCTTCCTAGTTCTCCTTTTTCCAAAGTCCAAATGCATCTTCACATGCTTGTGGGAGATAAATTATTTTCCACCCTACAACTCCTTTTCCACAGACAAAACATAGCAAGCCTCTCACTACTCTATTGCTATTTCCATGGAAAGTTCAGACAAACTACATTCCTTAGTTTTGTCATTTCTAATTGTCATGACTAAGACCCACCCTGCCACACATGTTGTACTGAACCACTCCCATTCTCTTCATATTCCATTGGTGAGATGTAAGTTCCACTCAAGAAGCTTCTAGCCATGGACTGCTGCTTTGTGGAATCCACTCCCAAAAAGACACTTCCCTGATAGCGACAACCATAAGCTGTTCAAGTCTAGAATTAACTGTTATCTTCCCCACATATTCCCATAAACTATGCCTTTTACTCTGTAACCCTCTACCTTGAGTGGCTTTTGGGCCTTGTACAGGGTGGACATCATTGTAAAAAAAAAATAAATAAAAAAATTAAAAAAATAAAAATAAAAATTCAAGTGAGAACAATTGTCTAGCACAACACAGTAAACCAAAGTGACATTTGTCCCTTTAGAGGAACATTTTTTTTAAAATATTAATTTTGATGTTTTTAATTTTAACGAGAATATATACAGAAAAGACTAAAATACAATATGTGTTTGCACATTGTGTTAAAATATAATTTATGACTTATTAATTTATATTGATTTTTGTAAATTTTGTAACCATAAAAGGTTAAATATATCCTAACACATGATGAAAAATGAGTCCCATATGACAATGTTCAATGCAAAAGACAGTTGATTGACAAGGATTAATCATCACAATTGACCCCCAGAAGCTGTGTTTCATGGGAGAAAGATAATGTTGTGCTTGTGGTAGAGTCACCGGAATGTTTTTCACTTAAAATGTAATGAAACACTAAATGCACATTTATACATCTAGCAGCTGCAATATGTCCATAAAAGTTTGGTCAAAAAGTGCCTTGTGCTCATCAGTAGAAAAATGTTGTCCTCTTCCATGACAATGCATATTGCAAGAATAACACAGGAAAGAATTTTGGCACTCAGTCTTCATGGAATTTAAAAGGTTGTGTGTTTGTGTGTATTTTAGATGTGTGCATTCACATATGATTAACAAAGAAGCATATACAAACATGGGTTTCTTCTCTGGATCATTTATTCTTTTTTTTATGGTAACTAGTGAAACAAAGTTCTCAATATCTCATGGGTATGTCCATTTTCTTTTTTGGTTCAAAAGTAAGTTATGGTAAGTAAGGATAAGGATAGTTAAAATGGTTGCACTCAAATCAGCTTTGCACTGAGTTGGATCGGTCAAATTACTGACTTCATGAGTAGGGCTGTAAGGCTCGTCTGAACGGTGGAAAGAGTGTTCGGTTGTCAGTGGACTGGGGAAACTGATATTCCCTAGTGGGAATGTAATTATCATGTGGTTCTACATCTTGAAGCAAAGAGGAAAAAGAGTGAGGCAGGAAAATATTTGCCTTTTTATAAATTTCAACAGCATCACCTAACAACAACATTTGACAAAACCAAGTGGGGTAATCATATTTCTTGTTTCTTTACTCTTAGCATCATGGGAAAATGTTTTGTTTTGTTTTTATTATTATTCTTTATTATTATTTTATTTATTGATTTTATTTAATTTTCCCACAATCTTACCTGCTATGTCTGGAAATGGCTAATATTAACATTATTACCCTTTTTGATTCCTTCAAAAATACTTTGATAGAGAAAAGTTTCTCTAATGAAAACCAGATTCAAAAATATTTTCACATCAAAACCTGTGAAATTTTACTCAGCAAGTATTGAAAAGCTACATGATAAACAACAAGAAGTTATTGCAAATAATGATGAATATATAATTGAATAAAATAACTTTATTATATACTTTATTCTTTGAAGAATAAAGTTGATAAACAAAAACAGAAATTATTTATGACTCAATCTAAGGTATATTTTATTTTTCTAATATATGCATACATAACAATGATAACATTTCCATTATATACTAGGCACAATAAGAGATTTTTAAAATAACTAACAATAAAAAATTTTTTTAATTCTAACAATATACAGTAAAACTTCAATTTAAAGAACTAATTAGTACCTGTTATTGCTCTTTCCAGTATTGATTGAGGAAAGAGTGATAACAGCTACTGGACTTGAGAAACCTATTTTCAAAAAAAAAATTGTTTTTAGAGAAAGATTTTTATAAATTTCAACCAACATTAGTACAAGCTGCTTTATCAGTGAAAGCTGAATGTTTTAAAAATAGCTGAAATTAGCAAGATTTTTAATTTCCAGCTATTAAGATTGATATGTCCCAAGTAACTTAATTCTGATTCTATGAATGATTTGTTCTAGCATTTATTTAACTTTGTTCAATAAGAATAAAAAGTTGGTTCATTACAGTTGATGTGATCCATGAGTAGTTCTTTAAATCTAATATTCCTTAAATTGAGAAATGTTAAATTGAGCTTTTACTGTAATGTAAATAAGTGATGCAATGAATAAAAGATTTGTGCTGACTCTAAGAACCACAGCAAATGTCTTTTTTTTTTTCTTAAGTCAAAACCTTTTTTCTTTTCACTTAAAGGAAATGTATGATAGTATCTCTTTGTTATCTCTCAATTACCAGTATTACAACTTCTGTGCTTCAAGAACATTATTAAATAAAACTTATTTTGGAGGTTTTTCTAGAGATAACTGAAATCTTGGAAACCTAAAACCACACATCAAGGAATGTTATAGAATTATTTTGATTTATTATTCTGAGATACAATTTGCTTGCTTGTTTGTTTGTTTTTTGTTGTTTTTTAACAAATATTTAATTTGGGATTTTACAGAATAAAAATAAAAAAGCAGTTTTTTTTTTAAATCTATTAAATAGGATAATTTTATAAAGTTGGTTTGTTCCTTCCATAAGCAGTCGGTTATCTCTGTTGCTTTGAATAGGACACAAAAATTGTACTGACTTAAAAGTATAGCCTGAAGATTTTTGAGGAGCAAAATAAACTGACACAATAAAGTATCTGTTGTCAAAATCTTTTGTCTTAATATCTCCTCTTTCTTGTTTTCTTTGCATATATCTCAAGAGAAATGATAATCTCTCAGGTGTAAACACCCATGTAATTTCCAGGAGTTCAGCTAGTTTTCATTATTAATTTTTTTTTTTTTTTCATCTCTTTTAGAATGAAAGTATTAGAATTATTCTAGATATAAACTCTAGTTCCATGGCTAAATTGATTAAGGCATCATCCATGTATGAGAGTGGGCTGAAAAGTTCATAGATCATCTATGAAGGAGTGATGTTAGAGTTATGAAATCTTTACATAAGCATTAATTTCAACTCCTCTTATTAATAACTGCATTGCAAACTGACATCTGACTGTTCAAAGAAGACTGTTCATCCTATTGGTAAAAAAAAGTCATCAGCAGATTATGTGATACTTTTTCCCAGCCCTGTGTTTTTTTTCATGTTGGGGAACAGATGATAGTCAAATCTTTCTTTCTCTTTCATTCCTTCCTCTCTCTTTCATTCCTTCCTCTCTCTTTCATTCCTTCCTCTCTCTTTCATTCCTTCCTCTCTCTTTCATTCCTTCCTCTCTCTTTCATTCCTTCCTACTTTAATTATTCAATACTTTCAAAATTTTTATTTCAAAATGTATTGTAAACAGTGAGTGAATTTTGACATGTTTTTCTCCTTTTCAGAACAAGGAAACCTATTTCTCCACAATTGAAACACTGAAGTGTGAATTAAATGAAACCAGAGTAAGACATTATTATTATTTTTTTTATTTTATTTTCCTTTAGGGAAATCTCTCTCCCATTGACATCTTAAAATTATATTCATTGCTGTGACATTCCTCATCCTTCAATTCTTCTCTTAGTCATGACATCATCTTGTAATTAAAAAGATATCTGAGTAGGTCTTGTAGAGAAAAATAAGTGACCTTTTTTTTTTTTACAAAATGCCATAAATAAGGAATTCAACAACTTATTCTCAGAAGAAGCATATTTGGTTCTTCAGACCTTCCATATGAAAAAAACACATAAGCTAATATAGAGAGTACTTATGTCCAATCTTTAACCTTTACCACACTAATTCCTTTCTTGAATTGTTTCCCTTGCCACTGCATTTTTTGAGGGGGCAAAAACATGAACACCTACTGTTTTAAAGTTGTTATAACTTTCTTTGTATTGTGTGTATAGATTTTTTGTACACTAATAAAAGAATGGATGACTAATATTTTGATGTAATGTATTACATTTTGCATGCATGTTTTGACACTGAAAACAAAAAAAATTGAAACACAAAATAAAAAACAAATACATTAACAATTTAACATACTTTAACTTTTATTACTCCTTGTGGAGTTCTGGGGGTGCAATAATAAGCAAAATGGCTAAAAAGGCTTTCATTTTGTCAAAAGAGTGACATGCTTCCTTGTGCTTATATACAAGAAGACACCAGCATTTGTTTGGCCTTTTTTCACCTGACTAGCATATTTATTTGTCTCATTGACAAATAAAGTTATTTCAGCATTTATAAATAAACAAAATAATTCACCTTCAGAAAAGCTATCAGGTATATTGATGTTTGGCAGTAGCTTCCATAAAATTAGTCAGGCCTGAAGTAATGGAACTTT